TGTATTGATTTATTTCCAATTATGTATTGATTTATTCCCCAGGCTATAGAGACACTGAAGGGATTTGAGAAGAAGGATTCTAAGTGTGCAAGTGCTGCCTCCACCAATCTATCATTTTTGTATTTTTTACAAAATGACTATCAGTTAGCTGACAAGTATGCTGAAATGGCAATACAAGCTGATAGATACAATCCATATGGTAGGAACTGCCTCAATATTGCTGATATATCAATATGGCCATACTCATGAGATTTGATGTCTTTCATACTTTAACAAGACACTGTTTTAGTCTAATACTCTTGACAGATGATGGTTGTTATGTATTGTATTTGTATTTGTATTGAACATGTATTTGAAGAATGACTTATAAAAGTAGAATAGCATATGAAATAAAAACACTAATAAAATTTATTCCATGGTCAATTAAAACATTCTGGCTCATAGGTTTGAATCTCTTTTTATGGAAACTGTCCACAAATGAATGATATTTGCAGTATCCTATACTCAAACTGAGAACAGCAGAATTCCAACTCAGTCACTGATATCAAGTTTTCAGCGGTGTATGAAGTCTTAACCTATTATGTGTTAATTACTCAGCAATGGTAAATAAAGGCAACTGTCTGTTTGCACAAGGCGATTATGAGAAAGCTAGGGAGTACTATCAAGAAGCTGGTAGGACAGATTCATCTTGTACAGAAGCATTGTACAACCTAGGTAAGTAGAAAAAAACTTATGATGATTACTGGAACACATGCTGAAATAGCTATCGAATTTGGTTCAGTTCATAAATTAACAGAATCTTAATTTAGCTAAAGTGCCAACAATCTCATTGTGAGAATATACTTTAAATTTGTGACGTCTTGAATTAATGAAATTGCATGTGAATGAGCTATATAAAAGTAACATGCTAGCGAAAAACACATGTTTTACAGTATACATTGTATAACATAGTTGATGTGTTCACAGTAGTTTTCCATGCATCACACCTGTACATGTGTTTTACACACACGGGCATACTACTCACTTAAATTTGTTCTAGCAAGTGTTTGATCATAGTGATATCTACCATCACAAAAAAACATTGAATATACCAACCAGCATTTAGTGATGTGTAAAATTGGTTGCTATGTGCTTTGGTGGATTTCTCTACACTAACATCCATACCTGCAACATTATGTCATGATAACATTACTGATCTTTTTACATAATAGACCTCTCACCACTTCCTATTCAGGTGTAAACTGTTCATTTGTAAACAAAAGAATTTCAGCTTCAGTCTCATGAGGGCAGTATTTGTTTTCTTTCCTCAATAATGGCAGTGCTTACAAGTACATGTACTTTGGAGAAACCAATTATGCCTTTCCATTATATAGTAAATTAATCGTAAAGGAAGCATTGGAAATGCTATTATTTAAAATTGTATTGCTTGTGATCAAGTGCATCTAGAGATCACTAGTAATTGCTCATTTTAAACCTTTTTTGAATACAGACAAAAAATTTAATTTATTAAAATTTTTATTACTTCAGGATTAACCAACAAGAAGATAAATCTCCTGGAAGATGCTTTGGATTGTTTTCTAAAGTTACACGCTATATTACGTAACAGTCCACAAGTGTTATATCACTTGGCTACTCTGTATGAAATGCTAGAGGATTCAGCGCAGGCATCAGAATGGTACATGCAACTAATAGGCGTTGTCACTACGGATCCTGGTATTTTGGCCAGATTAGGAGAGATATACGACAATGAAGGTGACAAATCACAGGCATTCCAGTATCATTACGAGGTAAGTGCATTGTGTTATTAATTTGCTTGGTTACTCCTATGCCTCAAAATACCGGTAGCCCTATTTTTAGTTTGGCCCTAGGCATTTGACCACATAAATAAGGGCAAATTATTGATCACATTTCTTTTGTTATAAAAGTGTCAGATTATTTCGACACATGTCTTCAACTTTTCAGGGTTTTCCAGTACAAATTATTTGATTTGTGAAAAACTGCCAAAAAAGATGCATATTAATATAAAACAATTTCCTTACCAATTTCCTTATTATAATAATAACAACCATAAGTATTCATCTTTTAACTTACATATGATTTTTTTTCACGAGGTGAAACCAAACAAAACTTTGAGATACGATGACAACTATTCAACAATAAAAAAGCTATTATTATAGTAAATGGCCAAAAAATCACCATTTTTTTGGTTGTTTGACAGCATGTTATACTTTTATCTTTGTTTTGTAAACAACAACAAAAGCATAAAATAAAACATTAGTGTTAAAATGTTGAGGAAATCCAATAATTTGTTTTAATGCTAAGCTAACAACAAAAAACGAGAATTCCTATTTCTTTTTGTAACTTGATTATAAGTAATTTTTGAAGATAATTAGAGTGTGACACTGTTTCTATGATAGTTTTGCTTTATTAAAATATGTTTGATCAATGCATTGTATATTTGATGAACAAAAATAGGCTAAAAAAGAGATAAATAATACAGGTTAACATAAACCAAAAATTGCTTTTATCATATTTTCTCAATAAGTAGTGCATCACAAAGTATAGTAGTACACATAAACCATTGTATACTGGATCATTAACAGTGCATGTGCATGTGCAGCGCAAATACTGTATTGCTAGATTCATTTCTAGATGTACCTGTCATCAATGAAACATCTTTCAGTATTTGTGTGATGTTTCACATATAATGTAGTATACAATGCAGACCTTAAAAAACAACTAAATCTGACACATGTTTATCTTCACAGTCCTATCGTTACTTCCCGTCTAACATTGAGATTATTGAGTGGTTAGGTGCTTACTATATTGACTCTCAGTTTTGTGAGAAAGCTATTCATTATTTTGAGCGAGCTGCCGTGATACAACCAACACAGAGTAAATGGCAGTTGATGATTGCTAGTTGTCATCGACGAAGTGGTAAGTATAGATATTGTTATCACACTTCATCATTGAAAAAAAAAATGTTTATCAATGTTGTGAGAATGACGTCCAATCAAAGAAACCTGTCAGTTCTGCTGCTGTCCTCAGTGCATGTGACATGCTTATTATAAATATGACTGCAGGATCTTTGTTTCGTCTCAGGAAATTAAAGCGAGGGAGTCGTCTCCTGAGCATGCGTCAGATGGCCATAGCGTGTCATTGTGTACAAACAAGCGTCTACCCATGAACCTTTGGGTTTTTAGCATGTGTTGTTATCGGCGGTTGAGACTCAATTCCCACGTGTGCGCAGGTGACAACCCTTCCGCTTTATTCACTAGCTACATCAATATCACATTGTACTAATTTAAAAGCATTTATTGAACTTTAAATTATTTTTTTATATCTCTTAGGCAACTACCAGCAGGCATTGGAAACTTACAAACATATACACAAGAAATTCCCAGAAAACATTGAATGTAAGTTTTGTTTCATTAGTAATTACGGTAATTGCAGTCAGTTTAAGGCAGCTTGGCAAGTAATGTACTGCGTGAATTAATTTTCACTGAAATGTATGGAATTTTTTTCACTGATTTTTTTGACAACTTGAATGTAAAATATAGAAAAAAAGGTATATTTGCTGGATTTTATTTATACTAAATCATCCCTTCATCAAAAATAGATTCCAAGTGAAAATAAAGTATTTCACGGCACATTTCAATTCCACTTTGGAGTGTATACAGTAACCAAACAACCAATTTATTATGTTATAGACATGTACATGTATAAAAAATAGAATCTAACATGTGCATTTCACCAACAGAACCTTGCATGGCCTTAGTCTTGTGCAGTAGTACTTAGATTATGAAACTATGATACACTTTTCACTTTATACTCCAGGTTTAAAGTTTCTAGTTCGTCTATGTACTGATATGGGTTTGACTAAGGATGCTCAAGACTATGCTACAAAACTGAAGAAAGCAGAGAAAGCTAAAGAAGTACGAGAACAGGTAAATAAAGATGAGAATGCTATCTATAATACATACATTGCTTTCTTTCATCAACCTTTAATCAAACTAGCTTCCATCCAAAAATATTCGTATTTAGAATAAAATCACAAACTTTCA